ATCAAAGCACATTGTTGTTATTTGTACAAGCTGTACACCACAAGCCAGAAACCACCAGGGAATTCATTCGGATCAGCTAAATTTCACACTGTTGTTTTAGTATCAGTTTTTGTATCAGGTTTAGGTATTCAGCAGAGCTATAATTGTTATTGGAGCTAACAAAATGCAGCAAGTACTCAGTGCCAAACAATGACATATCTAGAATTTTCTAATGCTATAAAAATAATCATAAGGCACTTGGTTTCACAATCCCAAAGAATGAAATTGTGTGTGCTTGCTTTGTACAGGTCTTTGATAATTAAAATCTCTACTGATGCAAAAAAATCCCATTGCAGTATTGTCTTTGCTTATTCAAGAGTAGTAACAACAAATTGTATTTATATAGCACCATTCACGTAGGATAACGTCTTGAAATACTTCACAGTGGCACGATTGGACGAAGATCGAGGGAGAAGGGGAAGTGGGAAGTCACGACAGGTGCAGTTGAAGAGGAAGGTTATAAAGTGAGATTTAAAGATAGATAGAGTGGGAGCAAGATGGAGGATAGAGGCAGGGAGCTCGAGTGGTTACGGGCATAAAAGGCATGACCACTGATGGTGGCTTGGAGGGCGTGGGGGACACATAGCAGGCTTGTGTTAGCTGAGCGTAAGGGATAGTGGTGTACAAGCAAATCAGAGATAGAGAGATACTAAGGGTGGAGGGGTTTATATGTGAGTAGCAGCACAAGAATGCAGCCTTGCCAGGTGGAGATCTGCATGCACATGGGCAACACAGTGAGTCAACCAAAAAAGACAATGGAAAGACAGCTGTGCATAAACAAATAGAATAGTTTGAAATTGCCAAAGAAAAATGTCTCAATATATTTACATCACATAGACTTTCAGCCATTCTGCACACATTTTCTGTCCTGGAGGCCCTCCAACCTTCTTCTTCCCTCCTCTTTTTCAAAGTGTGTCTTAAAACATAAAACTTTGACTGTGCTTTCAGTATTTTTTCCTCCACAACCCTCTCGGCTGCCATTCCCAGCTCGGATGCCTATTCAGCACTGTGAAGTGCTTTGAGACATGCTTCGGATGTGAAAGGATATACATAAATGTAAAATGCATGTATTATATTGTACTTCAAAAGGGAATAAGTCTGTTGTATGAGGGGAGAGATTGCATAGTGGGATCTCCATCTCTGTGTTTCTTGCTGTCTGGGTGCACAGACCAGTGCTCTAAACAAAGCAGCGCTGAATTGAAGGCGCTGTACTAAGGTAGAATAGTTTGAAGACAAAATACAATCTCTAGACTTTATGTCCCCTTAAAACAGATATTCGGGTAGAAAGAATATTGTAAATTTAACACCTGATTTATCATATCATTTTGATATTTCACATTAAAACAATGAGAATGGCAAAGCAACAACAAATTGCATTTATATAGATTGCATTCATGTGAGAGGATGTCCCAAGGCGCTGAACAATGAAGGGTTTGCACCCAAGCTGTGGGTTGGGATCAAAGAAGGGTAGAGGGCAAGTGGGATGGAGGAGGGAAGATGATCAAAGGCATAGTCGAAAAGGAAGATCCTGAGATGGGCCTTGAAGGAGGCAAGGGAGGGGGCGAGGGGCTCAAGGATGGCATTCCAGAGGTTGCAGCAGAAAGGTTGAAGGTCTGACCACTGATAGTGGAGCAGATAGGCAGGGCAGGTGATGTGAAGCAACAACAACAACTTGGATTTATATAGTGCCCTCCACGCCGGACAGCGTCTCAGAGCACTTCAAAAGTGCCTGCAGAGCAGAGTGAGCAGACAGGTTGGTGGTTTTAATAGGTTGCAGAAGTATGGAGGAGCAAGACCATAGAGGGCTTTAAGGGTGAGGATAAGGATCTTGAACTCGATCCTCTGAGCAGTGGGGAGCTATGCGGGTGATTGGCTCATGAAAGTGTTGGAGAGGACATGAGGTGTAGAGTTCTGAATAACCTGTAGCATGTGGAGGGAAGAGTTGGAAAGTCCATCAGGGAGTTAGCATAATGAAAGCTTGGATGAGAGTTTCAGCAGCCTGAGTGGAGAGAATAGTGGTGGAGTTGGGCAAAGTTGTGAAGGTGGCAAGAGGCAGAATGGTTAATGGCACAGATGTGGGGTTTGAAAGACAGTTGACAGTGCAACAAGACACTAAAATTCGGTACTTGTTCAGAGGGTGGCGTGTGCATCCGTGAATAGTGATGCTGTCAGCGCTTGAGGTGTGGAGACGCTAACTGAAGCCAAGCAGGAGGGCCTCAGTCTTATCAACATTCAACTATAGGAAGTTGGTTCTCATCCAGGATTTGATGTCTGACAGACATTCCGTCAGGACAGCAGTGGTCCTGGAGTCGAGGGTGAAGGCAGAGAGATAGAGTTGGGCGTCATCCCATTCCACATGTGGAAGTTGACCCATACGGATGATATCCCCGAGTGGGAGCATGTAAATATAAAAAAGGAGAGGACCTAGGACAGAGCCATGGGGCTGTCCTCTGTCTGCCTAAGAAGGTATTTACTGATCATGTTTAAAGGATTTTTTTTCAGCTCTGAATGACATGAACGCATGCTTGATTCACCTCCATTTACTTATAAATGCAGTAATGCAATACAATTGTACATTTATAATGCCATTATTTATAATTGAAAACGCATTGGATTTATCTTTAAGAGCATAGATTTATCTTTAAGAGCACATTCATCAAACTAACAGGTAACATTCTGACCAGTGCCTGTTTAGTACAGACAGCTCTGTCCTGTGCCTGAGTAGCACAGACACCAACAAAAATGAATGATAAGCTAAAATCAGTTTTAGCTTAAACAAATGCCTGTACGTTTACCTTTGTGACTTGGAAGTTTGCTGGACTGGTTCATCTGCTTCGGGATAAAATAATTCAGAAAAGAGTTTGGCGACATTCCTTGACCATGTACTTTTTCTCTTAAACATATTTAGCTTTCTCTGCAGCCAAAACTAAAGCGCCTTCTCCCTTCGTGTAACTGCAGTGAGTGAGGTCGAGCATTTGGGAGGCTCAGCTAGTCAAACTTGACTTGCAAGTTTCGTCTTTGACACCAACCACAGTATTACACAAGCCAAATATTGTAGGAGTTTCTATGTCTCTGAAGTGAGATTTTTAAAAAAAGTTTCCGCCTCAGTAATGCAGGGTGAGGGAAAATGATACCAACTACTGTATGTTAATAATGTCACTTATTTCAATGTTCCTTTGGAGCCAAGTTTCATATGATAAAATCACTGAAAGCAAAACCCTGCATTAAAGTCACCAGTCTTCGTAAGGTGCATCAGTTACGTGTCTTTAGATAAAGCATGCCTAGATGCTCTTGTGTGAAGGGTGCTATTTGAAAAGGTGTTGCTGTAGCTGTATGAACTGAAATGTACAATGACCTGATTACTTGCCTAGTGAATTGTTCCTTCTGCTGGAAAGTTCTATATCATAATAATCCTAGCATTTAAAAGCGATCCACCAATCGACTAACAGACAGGTTCCTATTTACCCCTAGGTAAGTAGAGATGTGTGGATTAAAGATTAAACTAGAATAGAGTACACATGTCCTCATTCCTCTGAGTCAACACCATAAAGGGTAGGGCTGCCTGTGACAACTTTCATGAAACATGCCAGTGATTAGTACTGATAAGCAAAATCAGCATTACTTTACTTTGCTAATTTGCTCTTGTGACCGTGCCATTTATATGGTCAAATTTACAATTTTATCAATCCATTATCAAACTTTTTGGGTGGCAACCTCTACATTCTATTTGTGCTTGTTTCTCACTTTGTGTCCTCAAACAAAAATGAAGCCAAATATTTCCAGAATGACTTCATCGGCGTTCTGTATTTTGTATACTTTATCCTGCAAGAACCTGAAGTCCAAAACGAGAATGATTCATCGGTATTGCAAAATGGCACTGCAGTGACCAGCAGGAGAGAATTGTACAGAAACCAAACAGAAACTACTGGGAATGTACAGCAAGCTGCTCAATATCTGAAATAGAAAGATAGATTAATAGAAATACACAATCAATACACTTTGCAATTCCCTGTGAAGCATTTTGAGACATTTTGATAATGGTGCTTCTATATGTATAGGTTGAAAGTAATACCATTACTACACCACTTTCCACAGTGACAAACCTAGAACAGGCCACAAAGCCTGAAGGCTTGAGGCTAATCAATACTCTCTTCTAGTTTAATCTTCATGGATTGACCATAGGATTATCCATATTTATCGAGGTTTTGAGAGTCATGCTTACTTTTGTAAAATGTGTTCATGTTTTCTTCATGACGATCATCCTTTATCAGTCAGTAACATACCTTATTGGGGTGTTAAATTTGAAAACCTACTACTGTATAATGCCAACCTATCATTCCTTTTGACAGATAAGAAGGTGCAGCATAATTTGCAACTTTTCCCCTAATTGAAGGCAGTTTAAATTTGAAAATTGTCTATGGGTCCTCATGTCCACACTTAGAGACATTCCTTCCCAAATGTCTTCAACTTTGCTTACATAGCAATCTACCTCTCACTGCTGCATTCACCTACAAAAATGCAGTTACTACATTTTACAGTAAATCCTGTATAGCGCTTTGAGATGTCTCAGAGTCATGATATGGTAAATAGGAACCTGTCTGTTAGCCGATTGGTGGATCGCTTTTAACCCCATTTTTAAAAAGGAAGTTTGGTCATTCAATCCACGACTGTTTGTGGGACACTGCTGTGCGCAATTGGCTGACATGATTCTCCTGCAAAGTGTACAGCCAATTCATTTTACAGTATATTCTTGAAGACATGATAAGGTGCTATACCAAATGCAAGGATGATTATTATTATTACTGATGAGCCAGACAGGCTCCACTAACATGGTTTCCCAGGTATGTCTCCAGCTCAACTTCAGGGAGATAGTCCAGTGATTGTGTGATTGTAGATCAGTAATATCCTTTCAACATGCGTATGTTTGAGCAATATTGGCTGAGACAACTTTTCAAAATAGATCAAGGAAGGACACCACTGAATATTTACTAATAAATAGTTTACCCGTCACCATCTGTAGAAATATACATACAAACTTTGGCCAACAGAGAGTCACATATACTGTTTTTTAAAAACTTTTCTAAATGCTCAGTAATGCCTTTTTAAGTCATTTATAAAATTAAACTAGTTATCAATTGAAACATATATTACATGTTGACGTCATTACAATATTACATATTACTTCAACTTCTAGTACATTTTTAACACAACTTAAAGACAGATTAAAGTTTCATTACATCAAATTGATTGTATTTGGTACATGGCACAGCTCTTGGTTCTGCCAAGTTCTGAATCTGTCTCTCTTAGTGAAGTTCTTCTTGTGTCATTACATCTTTACGTCTTCATTGCTTTGATTTGATCTGAAATAAAGCATTAGATTTTTCACTTTCACTTTAAAGCCATTTTTAACTAAGGACACAAGTAAGACAAAGATACCATTGTTCTGAGGTTTTGTCTGTTTGTTACAACAACGTGTGTGTACACAGGTTTATTTTCAACAGTGTATTTTTAAAAGATGACTTTACAAGATTGCAAGAGTTTAATAGAACATTTTAAAGTGTAAATAACTGCAGAAATATTGGCTGTTCTGTTAACAGGCAGATAAACACTATCATAACAAAAACAACAGTGTTTAAAAACCAAAACCTTGAGACTAGAACAGGATGGTAGGACTGAAGAATCTGAGAATGCAGGTGCCAGACAATGAATGTAGAAATTCAATAGGCAAACAGTGCTTGTGACCTGATTAGATGTAAGGCAGCAGGCCAAGCTGACTCTGGCTGGTGTATTTTCACAATGGTTTTGGATTCTAGGATGTGAGCTAACAAATAAAATACAACTGAAGTCTCCCTAGCTTACATTCATTCCAGGCCACTTTAATGGTTCCACAAAACTGCCACAAATTTAAAATCTCACTGATATAGGCCGTGTGAAAATGGTAAAACAAATCACAATGATCCAGTACAAATATTATGTCGGGGGTCAAGGAACATTGTTTGAGAAGAGCAGAATGAGTCTCATGCTGCATTATACTTGACCTGTTAAAACTGAAGTCTTAAGTAAAATGCAAGCATGAGGTTCAGGAAAATGCAAAATGTTCCATTTCCCAAGACTCTCATCTTAATATAGTATAAGAAACATAAGAAAATAAAAGGAACTGAAAATATGGGTATGTTAAAATATTTGTAACATAATTGTTTCTATCTATGTATAATACTCAAGAGTGAATAAATGGGGAGCTTCATTTCACATCAATTCTGTTCAGTCAGATTCAAGCTTAGGTTCACAAGGCATTAGAAAGGCAAGATTTTTTTGCTGAAATACTGGAAATACGACACCATTTGTCAGGTGACCAGGAAGAAAAGAGCGAGAAGAAACTCAATCAGAATATCAGAAGGTTTTGGTGCTAAAAAAGAAAAATTCTCAGAATTATATTAAATGCCTTGGGGAGATCTTTCAAATATCTAAGAGTCGTTATCAGTTTAGTGATTCTGGCTCTAAATCATTTTACACCATATTCCTGATTCAGATTTAATCATGTACACACCAATTAAGTAATTTGCACAAACAGTTACTTTTTCTGTTGTCAATTTCAAACCCTGCCCCTTTAAGAGATTGTTTTTGTTGTAAATCGTCAAGAAGAAGCCTGAACGTTTGCAGGAATCTAGGTAAGTCTGTGCTTGATCAGTTGGGTGTTTCAGCTTTTTCTTGATTGAATATTTCTTGATTTATGCTATGAATCAAATATTCAATCAAGAATATGTATTTGTTGGCCAACCACTGCCTCCCCCAAGTGAAGCTACATAATTGTAAACTGTTGTTGTTCTAGATCCCCATTAATATTTCGATTGGATATTGCCATATTAGGTAAATAGAGAAATACTAAAACTCAGAGCCTGATGCACTTATCGTATCGTAAAAGTACTTTTTTGTGTCATTAATCTATATCTAGGTATATCTTTATTAGCCTTTGTGGAGTTTTATTGCTCTCTTTGATCCACCCATCATCTCAACAACAGCTTTGATTTTGTGGGTTTTACAAGAATATTTCAGCCATGTGAAATAGGAAAAAAAGAACGTCCAGGTCACTTAAATCTATAGCTTTAAGACGTCATTTATTTCTGATGTACATCTAGATAACATAACACTCATTGCCACTCATGTCCACATACATTAAATGGAACAGCCAAAGTGATGATACTTACCGTGTAATCTGGTCTGGGTGCAGACAGCAGGAAGAACACAAAAAGACAATGCTAACAAAATTAAGGGACTACAAATAGAAGTGATTGTTCATTATGCATGACATGTTTAAATACTGAGAGAGTGTCACAACAAACTAGCAAAATATTTCATACCTTGTAGCCAATCCACCCCTTCTTGTAGCCCTTCTCCTTTTACGGCATCACTGGCACTGAAATAAATCACAACCCCCATCAGATGTAAGGTGCTTTACAGTTTAACAATGAAAATCCTTGGCTCAAGCTGCTTTTTCTTAAACCCTAGAAGCTGGTGCCCAATTAACTATTGTTAATATGCTACCCAAGCTTCAGAAGGCATAGTGGTCAAAAAGTGAGAATGGTTATATCTTCTTTTTAAAAAAAAGCAACATTGTCGCTGAAATCTTTCAACACAAATTTGAACCTGAGACAATTGTCTTCTAATGACAAGTATCAGTTTCTCAGTGTTACCACAGTGAGGAAACAATGCCATTCGTTTGTGCAATCTCTACTGAAGCTCGTTGGTAATTCACTGAAGGAGTGAATAGTGGTGCAATGCTGTTTATAATGGAAAATCCTACTACCAATAACAATAAGCTGTTGTTGGCAGCGATTTTTGTACTTTGTTCCCAGAGCAGGCAGGTTGGTAGGGGGTTAGAAGGTCGCAGAAGTAGTGGGGAGCAAAGCTATGAGGGCTTTGAAGGTGAGGACCATGAAGTTGAACTGTATTTTCTGTGTGATAGGATGCCAGTGGAATCAGCCTAGGATGGGAGTGATAGTGTCACGGAGCCTGGTGCAGGAGAGGACAAAGATGATCTGCAGCCTATGGAGGGAGGAGTAGGGGAGGCCAACAAGCAGGGAGTTTGTGTGGTCAGGCATGGATGTTATGAATGCGTGTATGAAGGTCTCGGTGGCCTGCAGTGTGAGACAGTGGCGAAGCTGGGCGATGTTACGGAGGTAGGGAAAGGCAGAACGGAACATGGCATGGATGTGGGGTAAAGATAGTTGAGGGTCAAACAAGATGCCAAGGTTCTGGACTGGCTTAGAAGGTGGAGTGTGCATCCTTGCCTGGTGATGCTATCAGTGCCTGCAGTGTGGAGGTGCTGACGGGAGCCAATCAGGAGAGCCTCGGTCTTTTTGGCGATCAACTATAGAAAGTTAGCTCTCATCCAAGACTTGATGTCTGACAGACAATCTGTCAGGACAGCAGTGGTCCTGGAGTCGAAGGCGGAGGCAGAGAGATAGATTTGGGTGTCATGGGGAAATTGACCCCATGTCTGCGGATGATGTCACCAAGAGAGAGCATATAGATATTGAAAAGGAGGGGACCAAGGACAGAGCCGTGGAGTCCTGTAGCTCAGTGGTTAGGGCACTCGCTTTGCAAGCGAGAGACCTGGGTTTGATGCCCAGCAGGGAGAAAGTTTGGGCAAATTTCCTTACTCCACACGCCTGATAATAATCCCTCAAGAAAAAAAACAATAATAAAATTGGTCACTTCAATCCACGACTGTTTGTGGGACACTGCTGTGCGCAATTGGCTGGTGCGTCGCCCACAAATAGAGGGATGCAACGACTCGTTCCAGGACCTTGGAAAGGGAAGGAAGGTTGGGGCAGTAATTTGAGAGCAGGGATGGGTCCAGGGAGGGCATTTTAAGGATAGGAGTGATGACAGCGATTTTTAGAGGGGTGGAAATGGTGCCAATGGACAGGGAGAGGTTCATGATGTCTGTGAGTAGGGGGGCAAGGAGGTGGAGCTGAGAGGTAAGAAGAGGGGTAGGGATAGGGTCAAGGGAGCAGATGGTTGGTTTCATGTGGTTTATTGTGGTGATGAGAGAGGAGGGCTTCAAAGGTGTGGAGGAAGGGATGGGTAGGTGCCGGGGTGTGAAGGGGAGATGGGGAGGGGGCAGTAGATGGAAGGGCAGAAACAGCTGAGCCTCTCGACTGAACGACCAACAGTCGTTCAGAGTACAGTGCCTTCTTCAGTGTAACACAATAACAGGAAGGGAAAGAAGGCTGGTGTCCAGTAATGAATTAATTATTCAAAAATCAAATCTCAGAACATCATTAAATACCTTTAAAGTCTTTGTTTTATCTGCAAAACAAAAACCCTGGGATTTTAAAAGTTTTGTTTTGAGGTCCAGTTTGGTGGCAAAAATGGGAGCAAATGTGGGAGGGGGAGGATATCAATATGTTCTTGATAGGAATGCGAAAAAACCATGAGTACAGTCCACCTACCCAGTCCCATTTTCAAATACTATCTTTCCCTATTTCACATAACCCCATACCCTGTGCCATCAGAAAAAAACACTCCCTTCCTCCTTGAAACTCCCACACAATCTGTCTCCAAAGCCTCCTTGGTCAAACTAAAATGCATGCTAAAAGTACCATGATTAGGATTCCACTTACCAAATATACCATGCCTTATCTTTGATATTTTCTAAACACAACAACTGTGAAACCTTGACAGATGACAAAGCATCCCTGATATCCATTTTGTTTGCGAAAAATAAAATTGGAATTCGTTTGTGTTTAATATCTGAAGAAAAAATATAGAAAAGAAGTTAGTCAAGGTGTATTCTTTGACAAAGTAAAAGTGAAATTTATTTTGTTATGCCAAATGTTCTATCATACTACAAAGGCATTTGAGTGGATAGAAATGATACATTGTTGGTGATTCTCGGTGCTGAATAATGAGAGTATATTATGCATTAATTTTCCTAGAATATTGGTATCACAAATTTCAGTTTATATATGATCTCTCATACCTTTACACTATAAGGGGCAAGTCAGTTCAGGAGAACATCAAAAGTTTTAGATTTGTAACTGTGGGGAAATCATATATTTATTTTCTCTCATGTGGAATATTACAGCAGTCTAGAGTTAATTTGTAACAAGTTAATTATACCAGCAACTACACATTTGAAACATTTATCCAAACATGTAGTACAATATAGTAGCAAGTAGATATTGTGAAATAACTGTGCACTTGGCTAGGGGTTGGAGCACAGACTGCGGAGTGCGACTGTGACATTTCCCATATGCGCAGGGTTTTGTGGATCGTGTGGGTGACCACCCAAAAGAAACTGATGAGATTTCTACCACAAGTATATTTAACATCAGCCACATTTAAGATCTCAAGCTCTTATTTAGCTCAATGCTGGGTGGTAAAGCATCCTCTGAATTTCCAGACTTCAAAAGAAATATTCAAAAGTCTATTTGGCAGCTTATCTGTTCAGGAACCGGAGTGGAAGCCTTATTAATAAATTCAACAGTTCCCTTGTAATAATTAATTAATGTATAGAATACCCTTATGGCACCCTCTATGGCAAACCACTTTTTATGTTATAGCCCTCCATGGAAGATTAATGAATATTTCTTAAAGGCAAAATGAACACAGGAAGCAAAGATAAATGATCCTACCTGGATGATTCAGAAGTGTGTCAAGTTCCTCTTTGGCAACTACCATCCTCAGCTTGTCACTGCTATCAATAACAAAAATGATGGCCTGGCCTTCCCTGCAGTGACCATGACGACATGTTACACTGTGCACTGCAGCAAAGTTACATTTCTTCATATCTTTTAATCAGGTGGTTTAGCTGTGGTAGCCAACACATGGCTTACATTGCTACTTTAAGGTGGCTGGTCATCATAAATTTGCCTTACCTCTTCACATTAATAGGAGTTACAATTTAAATTGAATTGTATTTGATTTTAATTCTTAAGAGCCATGACAATGAGAAGTAACCAATACACATTTTGAGAAATGTGGCGTTGCTGTATATTGTAGAGTTTCCATTGTAATATTATTCCTTTATCAATTATAGATCATAATCTGTTTAAGTGATCCTCAAGTAGGAAAAGGTTCTAAAAGTACATGTTGTAAATATTTTATTTTCTTTTGTCTGCAATATGTAGCAAACTAACTTAAAAGAAGGAAATAGTCCTTTAAAGCCCCACTTGCTGCAAATTTCTGAATGATTTGAATGAATCCTATTTTTAAATTTGAATCAATTGCATCCCTTTTTACTTGAATCAATTACTTGCTTTCAGATAACAACTTTAACTGTCTCTGGAAATAACTGATTTCAATGAGGTTAAAAATAGCCCTATTTACATTGGGGTATGAAATTCAACATGCACCCTTATTTGTCATCCTCCACATCCTGTTGAATTTTATTCTGTTGTGCTAGCAAATTGGTTTGAGTTATTTGAAATTCCTTGACCCATGCTTTAATTCAGGCAGAGGAAATTCCTATACAAGAACAGATCAAATTCTGTGCTTATGAAGGAAAAACTGAGCTGCCCTTACAGTGTAAACAAGATATCTGACAGACATCCTCCTAAGTTTTAAATAACCATGTGAAAATAGTATGAGCCAACAAATAACCAGCAAACAGGATGATGGGCTACATTGCCAAAATCAAGGAAACTTTTCAGCCCTTAAAAGAGATAGGAAAGTGAAACCAGGTCAAAACTTTCAGATGTAGCAAAATAGCAAGACTAAAGGACATGCGTTTAGAGTTCTGAAAAGCATGTTTAGGACACAAACGTGAAATATTTCTTTCCCTGGATTGCACACAGCTGGTGTGGATTATAAGGAAGAGTGGTTGAAAGTAGGACATTAGATTCATTTTGAGAAACATCTAGAGGCTATAATGAGAAGGTGTTTGACTAATTATTTTGGAAGGATGAGATCAATTGACTGAAGGGCATTCTTCTGATGTTCAAAGGACATTGAAGGAAACTATAGAACATCCTCAACAGCTCTACAAATGCAGCAACAATGTAGCTACATTCATCCATCTCATCAGACATTCTGTTGTAGAGAATAAACAGCAATTTAGCAAAGTCATTGGAAAAGTTCCCTTTTCCTTTGAAACAATTCAATCCCACCTCAATTGTGGATTCTGATTATTTAGTGCTTTATTTCAAAGCCAATTTCCGTGGACCTATTCCCAGGTTACATTTTCGCAGAGAAATGCTACCTAGATCCAGATTTTTAAGCATTTCAGAATGTGTTGAATTTGGTTTACTTCAGTCTTAATTTCGAAGTTATAATAAATAATAATAATCCTTGCATTTGATATAGCTCTTCCCCTGTCTTCTAGACATTTCAAAGCACTTCACAGTACTCACTGTAAAGTGAATTGACTATATATTTGTTGCAAAAATGTTCAAAGTTGGTTTAAAAGATCTTAAAGAGAAAACAGACCTCAGAATTAAGACCATATTTAGGAAATTGCCAAATTCTAGAAATGCCAAGAAAATGGAGTAAATCTAGACCCAGTGTTTAAAATCTAATAATCCTATTCAGTGACTAGATTTTAAACTCTGGGTCTAGATTTACTCTAGCCTACCCTACTCAGTCTATAACCCTGCATTCTACATCATTTAAAATCTAGTCATTTATTTCCAACATGTATATGTTCAGAGAATGCATTTTTAAAATTTTTGTACTTCCATATTTCTTCTCACTTTTTTTTACAAAAAAACATTGTTTTCAAGATCGAAACGAGGTGACCTGTGAGAAGGGCATTTATAATGGAGAGGATGGGGTTCTTTTTACATTTGTGATACATTTCAATCCCCGCAAGAGGTTGTGAATTGTGTAAAAGTTGTCATAGTAATTTCTAATAACCCAAGGTAATGATTTGGGTTTTGTATGTAATACTTACTTAAAATAGTGTTCCCAAAGGTTTCGGTACCTTCCCTGGCCAGACATATCAAACACTGTAAAGGACAGACTGAAAGAAAGCATTGTTGGAAGAAGAATAAAACCATTAACATAAACCTACAGTATTGGTTTTTTGCAAACAATACGTTTACTGAGTGAAATACAAAGCCTGGTTTATTTTATGGGTATTTAACTTACATAGGGGAGAAATAATTTCCTTCAATATAAATCTGGTTTATTCTGCTAGAAGCAATGTCACAAACCTTTGCAGCAGTAGAGGGAAATGGAGCAGGAACTCTGATTTATATTCCTGCTACGATTCCCATTGCTTGGGGATGAAACAAGCTCTGCACACACTCAACTAAGATCAGGTGCTGAGCTGCACTAGCTGGTGTTTGTTCAGTGTTATTAGAGAACCAGTTATGCTATTGCTTCTTCATTAACCTTAATGTCGGCCCCTTAGAGGCTTAAAAATCTTTAAGGAACTCCATTGTTTTGCTTTGCTCCCTCTCTTGCCTCATTCATGGCATGACTCAAGACTCTCCTTTTTGAGCATGCCTTCAGATGCCCTCCTTCCCCTTCTGTCCTCCTTCATCCCAACCCTGCCTCCCAAGCTCGGGTCCTGATCCCTGCCTGTTCAGCGCCTTGGGATGTTCTCCCGACGTGAAAGGAGCTTTACAAATGTAATTTTGTCGTTGTTGGTGTCGTTAAGGAGCTCAAACCCTGATAAGGTGAACGTTTGTGTTAGTACAAGGTTCTGTTCCATTGGTGTTTGTGTTAAGCTATGTCAAGTGAAAAATCAGCCATAGCTTGGTTACTTTGCTATTTTGATTTTGGTTGCTAAGGCTAAGAGTTCCCGTTCTATTTATTCTGCAGTATGTTCTGTTCCTGTCAGAGATGTGAAAACATGTAAATTACGTTACATTAATATGACGAAAATGTGTTGCCAAAAAACTATTTTGGACATCTATAGAATTGTAACTACACGCTGACTCTGTTATAAAGTAGTGGTCTGAGTCCATAATAGTGGACCTCATGATATATCGAGTAGCTGTGGGTCGGTGTTTACAGGTTGCCTCTGATGTCACTGCCAGTATATTTCACTATGTGTAGGAAGATGGGCAATCAGTGCCAAAGCTAGAAGTGTACACCTCAGTACACCTGCACTAACAATCAACCTGCACTGAACCATGGCAGGTAACAACAGGGGTCAGCCTGTAACTGTATTGTAAGTACAGTAATTATTTTCATTTAACAAAAAAAACTCCAAGCTGTTAGAATGGTGAACAGCCTTATCTATGTGATTTCCTGAGGCCAGCTCATTGCTATCAATCTCATGAGCATCACTGTCACTGCTGGTTTTGGGGCAGATTTCTATGACGATGCCTTGAATGATCCGGAAAGAAACACTCTCCTCAGGGAGTTTTATACCCTTCCTCCCAATAACGGGATCCCAACTCAGGCACTACTGAAGACTATCCATTATTGAGCATATTTTAATCTTTAACGTTCTAATCCTTATCAATCAGACTCTAACTATTGGTGCAGTATCTAATCAAAACAGAATGGTACCCAGAAGTCTTGAAATTTTCTATGCTGAATCCGATGGTGGGAACAATGTCTTGCACTTGAGCCTGCAAAGGAACATTACCAGTCAGTACAAAGTATCTGCTGACCACAGTAAATTATACTAGGCAATTTAAAAAGATGGCTTAATAAATATAGACCATTCAAAGCCCCACCTCATTTGTGTTTTTAACAATACTTAGATCACATATTTCATGATTTGTATTTTAAATATATCAGTTTAAAAAAAGCAATATCATCAGATGAAACTAAACCCGGTGTTCACATGTTTTTGTGTTTCAAACTTGATTTTGTTTCCAACCTTTTAGAGGAATGTTTCCAAGAAGACTTGCAAAATCATGTAGCATTTTGTTTTAAATATTACTTCAGGTCAAAATTTAGCAAACAGCCAAAGTCAGGGAGCATGAGCACCATTCTAGTGATGCCTTATCACCAAGACTCAATAATGAACACATAGATGGGATAGAGCTTGCCAAGGGGAGATCCAGAGTCAGGGCAATGCAATCAGGATGATTCCCAGTGTTAGAGGAATCAGCTATGACTAGACACGCTAGGATTCTTCAGTCTTGAAATGAGACGTCTCTGAAGCGTCCTTGTGAGGTATATACAGTTTTAATTAGGATTGAAAATGTAAACCAAGAACAATACGTTCAGATGCACCAATAGAGTAGGACAAGAGGACATAGGTTTAGAGTTGCAAAGGGCAATTTCAGGACAGACACTTAAGATACATTTGTTTACCTAGAGGGTTTGCCAGGAAAGATGGGTGGGTTGAGGCCAGGAAGCTGGAATAGTTTTAAAAACAGCTTGATGATGTGATGGGATGACGGTAGGGTGGGTATTCTGGAAGGATGAGAACAAAGGGGCCAAAGGGCTTTCTGCATCTGAACTTCTCTTGTGAACAGAACATATATCGTACAATCATAGAGCTTTAAAAAATGTTTTGCAATTAGTTTCTCACCAAGACTTTAAGCTCCACTTCTCCCAAGCTAAAATGTTTCCTTTCGCATTAAGTTTTTTTCCATGCACATACTGTAACTAATCCTCACCAGGCTAAATAAATACAGTAGTTATTCCACACAGTTGGCATAAGTTCCAGGACTCACATCATAAGCTTTCCTTTTATGTCGTCTTAGCATAAAATTGCTTTTGATAGATCCCATCCGTATCAATTGAAAGTTGCTTTCATGCAATTATTGTAATAAGAATTATAAGTGAAGGTATATAAAAAAAATCACTAGGCCATACAACTCAGAAGTTTCAGGTTTGGATTTTTGTCTGTGCAAAGTTAGATTATATCAATGTATTTGAGGTGCTACAATGTTCCATTTAGTTCGTGTGGAAGAGAGAGAAGAAAAATCAGCAAAGATTCCACTAATCATCTCTGTCCAACGACCCCTGCTGGAAAGTGCACGTGTATCTGGTACACTGGATAAGGACAGGCTTAGGCACTGCTATGGTGCTCCTTAAGGTTCAATTGCCTGCTGATGCTCACTATCAAAGGCGAAGATGTAAGAATGGCCATGGAGAGTGGCCACTGTCTGGGGAACCAGAACCGTACTCCGGGAGAGGATCAATGGTTTCTGTAGGAGAAGCAGGAAGAGAAAAAGAAAACGTTGGGAAAAGAAAATACCAAAAGTCACCAGAATTAAATAACTAGGATCAAATGAATGCAAGATGAAAAATATGTTATTTGTTATGCCTTATTAGTCAATGGTCAATCATGGTCAAGATTTTGGATGATATCTTTTTAAATGGTTAATGTAACACTTATTTATCTTCTAAAGGAGTGCAGTAGATTTTCCATTAAGGGTTACTGAATCTTCATTCCTCTGAAGGCTATTTTAAAAGACAATGCAAATAATATTCCAATGTGCCTTTGTATCAATTAATGCAGGTAGCTGGTTTCTGGTTAAATGGATCTCAAATATAAAGATAAATATATAATTCTCATTGTATGGAGAACTATCAGTTTGAACAAATCAGAACAAAATTCCAGTGGATTTCTTCCTCTATCTTATTAAGTGCAATGGAGTGATTTCTTCCCTATTACTTACTTGATTGCCCCGTTCTTTTCTTTCAAATTTTCCTCTGAAACTATGAATTGCTTTGGCCCATGCCTTCTTACCCTCCATCTCCTTCTCAAGAAAACTGTCCATTCTTTCTCACTGAATGATATTAACATTTAACTGTCTAGCTGTATTGTCAAGGTCAAGCAATTGGAAACTGTGAAATTTTCCAGTGCAAAAAAAAGTGACATTGATTACAAAACCGGTGGAATAAATAGAGCCATGGCTTCTTTCAGCGAGTCTCACAGAAGGAGGTCATATTTTTCACATATACGCACGACTGCCACCAGAAATAACTGAGATTTGACAGGACTTTATCTGGAAGTCAGAAAGATTTATAACTTCTGTTTCTCTACCAGAACTTCACTGCAGAACATGTCTGTACAAAAGTAAACATTAAAACCTTAATCCTTTAATGTAAAAGTGAAATTATATGGAGAACTCTAACCCAGTTCAGTATTCAGAATATGGAATCTTGAGTAGTAATTTTACTAAATCCAACATGCTTTTGCCATAATAACAGTGATACAAGCTTTGCAAATGCATCTAAACTTCGAGCTGGATGAACCTCAAACTATCTCTGTATTTGGATGGAAACTAGTCACTAAATGAGAGATTACTTTGGGGGTGAAGGCTCACTGAAAATAGTATCAACGTACTATATGTCACTCTTCCACTGCAAGTTGCACCGCCACGCAGTTTTCTGGCTATCAAATACACAGTCAATTCACTTTACAGTGTATCCTATGAAGCGCTTTGAGACGTCTTGATGATGTGAGAAGGCGCTATATCAAATGCAAGGATATTATTATTATCGTCATGCAGTAACCGACCAAAGAAATGTCAAGCTGAAGTTAAAAAAAAGATATTTTGCAAGAATGATGTAAATGTTTTTCATATATTTTCTTCACTGTTTTCAAATTACTGCCCCGTCTCCAAACTTTCCTTTCCAAGGTCCTGGAACAAGTTGTTTCTTCCCAGCTTCGCTCCTTCCTCTCCAGTCGGGTTTCCGTGCGGCCCACAACACAGAAACAGGTTTGGTCAAAGTGACAAATGACATTTTGTCCATCTGTGACCAGATTTCCCTCTGCCACCTAATCCTCCTTGACCTCTCTGCTGCCTTCAATACTGTTCACCAGTCGATCCTCCTCCATTGCCTCTCCTCTCACCTCAATCTTCATGGTTCTGTCCTTGAATGGTTCAGATCCTACCTTTCACACCATCTCCACTTCATCTCCACAAACGGTTTCTCCTCTAGCCGCCACACCATCTTGTGCAGGGTTCCAAGGGCTCTGTTCTTGGTTCCCTACTTTTCAATGTCTTATGCTCCCTCTAGGTGACATCATCTACAGACATGGGGTCAACTTCCACGTGTACGGGGATGACACCCAACTCTCTCTCTCTCCCTCCACCCTCGTCCCCAGGACCATTGCTATGCTGACAGAATGTCTGTCAGACATCAAGTCCTGGATGAGAGCTAACTTTCTACAGTTGAACGTCAACAAGACTGAGGCTCTCCTGATTTGCTCCAGTCAGCGCCTCCACACCTCAGGCGCTGACAGCATCACCATCCATGGATGCACACTCCACCTTACTAAGCCAGTCTGTAACCTTGGTCTTGCTTGACCCTCAACTATCCTTTCTACCCCACATCTGTGCCATGACCTGCTCTGCCTTCCCCCACCTCCGCATCATCGCCTGACTCCGGCACTGTCTCACACCCAGGCCACTGAGACCCCCATATACGCATTCATAACATCCAGGCTCGACTATACAAGCTCCCTGCTTGTCGGCCTTCGCAATTCCTCCCTCCATAGGCTGCAGATCATTCACAACTCTGCAGCCGTGTCATCTCCCGCACCAGGTTCCGCAACCCTATCACCCCCATCCTTGCCCGACTCCACTGGCTTCCCATCACACAGAGGATACAGTTCAAGATTCTGGTCCTCACATTCAAAGCCCTCCATGGTCTTGCTCCTAACCCCCTACCAACTTGCCCGCTCCCTCTGCTCAACGGGCTCCGGCCTGCTTCACGCCCCCCCCCGCCCCACCATTGGGATGGGCCTTCACCCACTCTGCCCCCACCCTTTGGAACTCCAACCCGCAGTCCCTCCACCTCGCCCCCTCCCCTGCCTCCTTCAAAACCCATCTCAAGATCCTCCTCTTCGACCGAGCCTTTGATCACCGTACTTCCCGCCCTGCGCTATACAAATGTAACTTTGTTGTATTTTGTTGTTAACTTCATGATTCTTAAATTATTTTCCCAACAGGTGCCAAGACAAGTCATGGAAAACGAGCCAGCTCTGAAGTGCAGTCATGGTTCTCTGAACTAATACCTACACAATGTGTGGTGCTCAGAAGAACACAGAAGTGAAAATGAATTCCAAAACATCAGCTATCCTCTTCTAAGCCTAAATAAGGTACATGTAAATAGAGGTCTATGTAAAGCAAGTAATAGAATTTTTTCATTGTACAATGTGTCAAAGTACTGAATAGACTTGCAAACATTTGTCTCTCAGATGAAGAAATGAAATCTCTACATCTGTCTGCCTTCCAAATACTACTTGCCCATTCACACTAATTTCAAGTGACAGTCACTGCTGATGGAAGAAAAAGAATAGGTCTCACTGCTAAATGTGAGTCCAGGTCTACTCATTTCAGTCAATTTGTGACCTATATTTGAGAAAATCTGTTTCCAATAAGCGCCTTTTTGTCTGACAGCAGTAAAAGATACAGTAACAGTTGGGAGCGATTACTTGTTTAATGGAAGAAAGTGGCTGGAAAGAAAACAGTAATGGAGCCAATTGATGGTTTAAATGGAAAACTTTCAAGGACACCTGGAAGAAAATTACAGGCATATAAAACAAGTACAGATGAATAAAGCTCCTTCAGCCCACTTGATCTCATCCTTCCATTACACTTCCTTTACCCTCATTCCATTATGGCACCAAGCAGTTTCTTAAAAGAGTAAGTCTAGGTGATACAGTATTTATGAGTTAAAATAACTTGATCTTGACTTGATCACTTGACCTCATTTCATCAGACCAATTGAGAGACTTGATTTAGCAGCAAAACTGAAGGAAATAGATAGGTTTCATTCAGACACAGGGATTTACAAAGGCTAAACAACATCCATTTAATATATCAGACCCTAGCTTTTTTTAAGGTTACAGGTTTTAGCCATAAGTAATCTTTTTAAGGAGCTTGAAACAGATAGTGGGCTGAACTTGAACAAATCAGATAGCTCATTTATATTGTAGGACTACTTGGGGAAGTGGTTTTGCAGATCCAACTTGCAGCACTGCCAAAGCTGCCCGATTCCATTACAAGTAGATTTGAACAGATGCCACAGTGTAGAAACATTGCTGCTGTCTCTGTGCAAGATCTGAAATAGTTTCCACATTATTCCCTTATACAGAGATTTTGAGCGTTTCGGAGTGGAATTCCCACAGGTAGTAGATGCACATTTGATATTCACAAATTAAAAGAAAATGCTTCATATTGTAAATCCTGGTCTTTTAGACACAGTTATTTGTTGTTGATGGTACACCAGAAGTGTTTTAAAGAGTGAAGAGTGATTGATTAACACATTGCAAGCAATTTAATATATTGTTGACGATACAGATAATAATAATAATAATAATAATAATAATAATCCTTGCATTTGATATAGCGCTTTTCACGTCGGGAGGACGTCCCAAAGTGCTTCACAGAACACACTGTAAAGTGAATTGACTGTATATTTGTGGGCGAACGCGGCAGCCAATTGCGCACAGCATTGTCCCACAAACAGTCGTAGATTGAAAATGACCAATTTAATTATTGTTTTTGGTTTTTTGGAGGGATTATTATTAGGCGTGTGGAGTAAGGAAACTTGCCCAAGGTTTCACCCTGCCTGGAATTGAACTCAGGTCTCTTGCTTGCAAAGCGAGTGCTCTAACCACTGAGCTACAGGACTCCACGTGAGTGATCATATGCCAGGGTCTGCAATTCAAACTCCAACTGTTCATTGTTTGATCCAAGTGACATTAGCTTTCAGTTTCTTGGTCATCTTGTCCTTTGTACCTTTTCACCTTTGTTTGGTTTTAACTACTATCCACAATAAAACTTGGCGGTGTTACTTAATGGAGTTAATTAATTCTGGTTTCAAACTTGAGTGGATTTCTATCCTCGACACCATAGTGTCAGGACAGAGTAAATGTGTATTCCATTACTGTTACATATTATTAATTTTATTATGTGGATTTCTGGTTGCAAATAAAAGAAAACTATAGATTGCGGAATACAAAAACGACATAGCTATAGTGTAAACACTAACTCAGTACCAATCTTAACAGCACTTCAATGTAAAATAAAATGAAGCATTATGTAATTAGATACATTTTTAATTTCTCTAATTATTTAATAATTTTACTTATGATGGAATAGTTTATTCCACGGAAATTAGCAATTCAATGGTAAGGTCAGAGTTATAAGTCTACTGGAATTGATAATTAAAAAGTGAAATTGGTCCATGAAGCACGATATCAATTCTTCAGTTAAGTATCAAAGGTTTTAGCATCAATATTTATTATTAATGAAAAAAGATTTGATTGACAAATTCATATTTGTCTCAGAATTATCACTATTGTCTCAGTTTCACAAAATTAGATTTAAGATGTTATGTAAGGTGATATCTGTGTCTAATCTTCACTGCACAGATTCCACAACATGAATAGTTACGTCAAGGTTCCTAACATTAATTGGGAACTTTATTTTCTCTCTCCTAAATGAATGAGAATACTTCCAAATTGCTTATTAATGCTTCTTTTTTCAGTGAGATCTAAGCAAGCATTGTAAAGAGGAACAGAGCCAGAGGATTCAAAAAGATTGAGTTGCAGAATGGAGGATAGTAAAACTGAAAGAAAAAGAGAGCAACAATGATGTAGAAACTGTGAAAGAGTACAATAAAATAAAAGTTAGAAAAACTGTAAAAGAAATGAAAAGTGAGGCAGCAAGGCAAAATGAAACTAAAAATGAGCAGAAAATGAAACTAAAATCAGGTAAGAATTGGATCATCAATGAAAAGAATGAAAACTACAAAGAGAGTTGGAGAGAGAATAGAGTTCACATTTAGACAGACAGAGAGTTGAAAAGGCACAGAATAAACATAATAAACAAAATGAACAAAAGGTAAACATGAATGTAGAGATTAGTTCATAATGATCTGGTTCTTATTACTAGTCTAAGTTGTTTTATGTTGTGTTATGTGAAGTGGCCCAGGCCGGTCATACATACAAGTAAAAGATCAAAAACTTACGTTTGAAGGTTTTAGACGATTAATTATAGTTGTCTTCCCACTATTATCCAGCCCTAGACACAACACATGAACCTCCTTCTTCTTAAGACCAAGCCAGCCAGCTAATTTGTCAAAGAGCCCCATGTTCTCTCTTCAGTAGATCTATAAACAACCAAAGCATGAGAAGTGATCAGTGTTACAAGAGTTTCAGAAATGTGCATTTTTTTGTCAAGTACAAGTTGGTTATAAACAAATTTATTAAACAAAATTTACAGTAAGTAAATGAGGGAAATAAACAGTTCAAAGTAAAGGTTACTGGTTTACCATAACAAAGGTGGTTAATAGGATTACTGACGTCGCATTAGAAACTGCTTTTATTGGTTAATGGCATCAGGAGATTGCAGCCAGGGATTATTCTCCAAATCTGTGAAACAATGCTGTCCTTGAACCATATGTGCACCTATAATATGCTTTATGCTAGCAAGCGTTTGTGTTCATTGCATACATTTTAAAAACATTATTGATTTCATTTCACACTCCAATAACTTTTAAATTAAAAACAAAATAAAATCTATCAACCACAATTTTCTTTTCATTTGCTCTCCTATTAATGATGATCGAACATCGCATGCAACAGTTTTACCTCTGGATTATAAAACAGTGAGATGATTAAAGTGAGATACAAGGACTTTAACATTCATACTAAAGTATCTTCCAATTCAAAAAAATTAACCCAGTCACATACATTACAGCAAATAAGAACAAATAATTTCTCGGAACCCACATGTTATCCTCACAACAACAACAACACAACAACAACAAGATTCCATTTATAGAGCGCCTTTCACGTCAGGAGGACGTCCCAAGGCGCTGCACAGTTGGGTCATGACCCGAGCAGGGGGGAAATGGTCAGGGTGAGGGGAGGGAAGGGAGGGAGAGAGGAGGGGGAAATGGTCAGGGTGAGGGGAGGGAAGGGAGGGAGCGAGGAGGAGGAAGAGAGTCGAGAGGGGAGCTGAAGGCACGGTCAAAGAGAAAGGTTTTGAGACCGGCCTTGAAGGAGGAAAGGGAGGAAGCAAGGCGAAGGCACTGGGGGATGGAGTTCCAGAGCCTCGGGGCTGAGAGGCTGAAGGCCCGACCACCGATAGTAGGGCGGTTGGGGCGGGGGACGTGGAGCAGACCGGAGCCAGAGGAACGGAGGGTACGGGCAGGTAGGTAGGGGGATAGTAGGTTGGAGAGGTAGGAGGGAGCAAGGCCGTGAATGGCCTTGTAGGTGAGGATGAGGATCTTGAAATCAATCCTCTGGGGGATGGGGAGCCAGTGGAGGCGAGCGAGGGTGGGAGTGATGTGGTCCCGAAGCCTGGTGCGGGACAGTACACGAGCTGCAGAGTTCTGAATGACCTGCAGCTTGTGGAGGGAGGTGGCGGGAAGGCCGGCGAGGAGAGAGTTCCCATAGTCCAGCCTTGAGGTGACAAAGGCGTGAACCAGGGTTTCAGCAGCGTGAGGGGTGAGGTAGTGCCGTAGTCTGGCGATATTCCGGAGGTGATGGAAGGCGGTGCCAGTTGTGGTGCGGATGTGAGGGAGAAAGGACAGCTCAGGGTCGAACAAAACGCCGAGGTTCCTGACTGGCTTTGAGAGGTGGAGAGTGCAGCCTTGGATGCTGATGGTGTCAGCGCCTGAGGTGCGGAGGCGCTGACGTGAGCCAATCAGGAGGGCCTCGGTTTTTTGCACGTTGAGCTGAAGAAAGTTGTCTCTCGTCCAGGACTCGATGTCGGACAGGCAGGCTGTCAGGACATCGGTGGTCGTGGAGTTGAGAGTAGAGGAGGAAAGGTAGAGTTGGGTGTCATCCGCATACATGTGGAAGTTAACCCCATGTTTGCGGATGATGTCACCAAGGGGGAGCATATAGAGGGTGAAGAGGAGGGGACCGAGGACAGAGCCCTGAGGGACACCACATGAGACAGTACGGGGGGTGGAGGAGAAGCCATTCGTTGAGACATTGTATTGATACCAAGCTTCTGTTAACTGAGAGGATCCTTTTCTTTTGAAAGGTATATTCCAGTACAATTGTCTAGGAATCACTTCTTTATTTTTGGTAAACACTTCAACCTCTCTGCAAAATAAATAAAACCAATCTCAAAATAAATCCTATTGAATCAGCCACTAATGAGCAATTATCACCGACAGAGGACACTATTTCATTATTATTTTAATGTGTAAAATGTGAACAATACCACAACCCATTTTAGGGGAAATATACATTTTTACATTATTTCAAAATGCTTTTATAACTTCTTTTAAAAAAAATTTAACCCATAAAATTACGTAGTGGTAAGTAGGAGGTGTTTCAGACCTATATTCCAAAACAAATGTACTGATACATTTGTTAGTAACAGTTTTCAACTTTTGTTTATAGTTCATACTGTATTTAAACTATTTAGTTGAAGAACATTATTGGGGGGTATTTCATTGAAGATTTAGAAACAAGGTTGCAAATTGTAAATGGTGTAAATATAGCAGTGGCTACATTTAACTACCAGAACAGTATGCATCACCTCACCAGTCTAATTCATTGAGATACAAGCAAATCAGCCTGTTTAAATAATCTTAACATAGAGCATTGAGAAGTTTAGGAATATGCTTTTCAGTCTCCAGGTTGCTGTGTTAACCAATGAATACAAAAATGTGTATTACTAGCATTAAAAATAATAATCCTTGCATTAGATGCAGGACCTTATCATGTTGTTGAAACAGCACAAAGCACCTCCCAAAATTTTAGTGTAAAGTATAGTGACGGTGCATTTGGTCACTCAATCCACGATTGTTTTTGGAACACTATATTTTGCAAAATATAGAGTCACTCCACTTTGCAGTATATTCTGTGAAGCAATTTGAGACGTCTTGAAAAGACGTGATAAGGCGCCAAATCAAATGCAAGGATTATTATTATTATGTATTATTATTTGTAGGTGAACACGGCAGCTAATGTGCTCACAGCAATGTCCCACAAATGGCCATGAAATTAATATTTTTTTTAAATCTGCAGGATTGTTGGCCAGGACACCGGTCGAAAATCCCCTTTGTCCAATGGTTCCATTAAATCTTTCACATTCACCTGAAGAACAGGCTGACACAATCTCAATTTAATGTCTCATCTAATAAACAGCACCTCCTGATTCAGCTTCCCTGTTCTTCACAGTGATTTGCTAAAGAAATTGCAGCACTGTGTTCTGCAGCATATTTCACAAATGTATCACTCTGAAGCATTGCGATTGATATCACCTTGAGGATATATTTTTGCCAGAACTTGTATTCACACAACTGCAGCATAAATAATGGTGCAAATCGAGTCTGGCACCACTGTGTAGTGGTCCCTTATAGATTCTCTATTGCACAGAAGCATAAAGCACTATATTGTCAGAGGTGCTGTCTATCAAGAAAAAGTTAAACTGAGGTTCTGTATGTGGATGTTAATAATAATCCTTGCATTTGATATAATGCTTTTCACATCTTTTAAACGTCTCAAAGCGCTTCCCAGAATATGCTGCGAAGTGAATTGATTGTATATTTGTTGATATTTCTCATAGCAGTATTCAAAAAGAGACGGGAGGGTTTTGACTCATGTCATCAAACCTTCAGATTAATTGGACATTCACCTCATAGCTCTTTGTAGGACCTTGCTGACATGAACAGCTGTTGTGTTCCCCTATGAAAGCAATCACTACACATGACAGTAATTACCTGTGTTGACATGATAAAGTGCTATAAATATACAAGTTCTTTCCATATTTACAGAAAATTCTTGATCTATGCTAGTTTCAACATTACTTCTCAAAGGATGCTCTTGAATGTATGGATTTTACCTTGAAATTGGTGAAACGCAAATAGCTCTTCTTACAAATTCTTAGAAAAAAACAAGGTAAAAGGAATGCACGTGAAGAAAAACGTGTAGGCTCATTATGAGTGTTGCAAATCAGCAATAAATAGTAGCTCTGGGAAAAAAAGACATACTTTAAGAGGAAATTGGTGGATGTCAAAATGCCATGAATGGATTTAGGTTTTTGTTAATTGTAATTGTTCAGAAATATTCCTGTTCTCAAGTTTACTCTTTAAATATAATGGAAATTATTGTCTTGGGCCATATTGGGAACCTGATAATCCTTATTTATACTGCTGAGAGTGAAGCGATGCCACTCCCATCAGTGTGGAGCAAAAAAATTAATTTATAACTCCCACTCCACACTGGATTGGGGCAGTTTAAAAAAAATTGATTTCAGAGATCAGCAAATGAGTGAGGATATTATAATAAAATAATCCTTGCATTTGATATAGCGCTTTTCATGTCTTCTAGATGTCTCAAAGCGTTTCATAGAATATACTGTAAAGTGAATTGACTATATTTGTGGGCGAAACGCGGCAGCCAATTGCGCACAGCAGTGTCCCACAAACAGTAGTGGATTGAAGTGACCAATTTATTATTGTTGTTTTCTTGAGGGATTATTATCAGGCGTGTGGAGTAAGGAAACTTGCCCAAGGTTTTGCCCTGTTGGGAATCAAACCCAAGTCTTTCGCTTGTGAAGCGAGTGCTCTAAACACTGAGCTACAGGACTCCACAAAGTAATAAATATTGAATTTATCCTATAACCTTCTGCTATACATATATATATACTCTGTCCAGCGCCTTGGGATGTCCTCCCGACATGAAAGGCGCTATAAAAATGTAATCTTCTTGTTGTTGTATAATACATCCTATCGCAATATGTTTCAACTAAAGTTAGACAAGTGTTTGTCTACTTTATCAGATCCACAATATCAGAGGAAATGGCCTGGGGATGTCACTTTGTCATCCTAATGTGTTATACCATTCAAAACAGGATTAAAACAATACTTTGGCCGCATTTCTTCAAATGAGTACGAGAGCAAAGGATTGAGGCAGATTGCAACCAAATAATTCTTTATAGACATGGAAACAGATTATTTCAGTGACTCTCACTTTAATGTAGGACACCTGACAGCAGTCTCACACGCATTGACTGTCTTTTGTTTCACTAATGACAGATGAGAGTGGTTTTGAGTTGTTGTTGGCATCGACATTGATTGGATTGAAAGTCAATTCAGACTATGTTGGTTACAATGGCAGTGATTCTGTCAGTAACGAACGTAGGGTTATTACTGAAGTAATAATTCTGAGGCACAGTAATATTGGGAAATTGATTTGTGATATTGATTGTGATATTGACAGTATTAATTGTGATATTGAGATATTGACAGTATTGATTGTGGTATTGATTGTGATATCGATATATTGATTGTGATATCGACAGTATTGATTGTGGTATTGATTGTGATATTGACATATTGATTGTGATATTGACATATTGATTGTGATATCGACAGTATTGATTGTGGTATTGATTGTGATATTGACATATTGATTGTGATATTGACATATTGATTGTGATATCGACAGTATTGATTGTGGTATTGATTGTGATATTGACATATTGATTGTGATATTGACAGTATTGATTGTGGTATTGACAGTATTGATTGTGGTATTGATTGTGATATTGACAGTATTGATTGTGGTATTGATTGTGATATTGACATATTGATTGTGATATGGACAGTATTGATTGCGATATCACTCACTCACTCACTCACTGACTCACTGATGCAGTCGCTGAGGTGCCGGCGCGCGGGGCTGCTTGACCTGCACTGAGGGCTGGAGCCTGTCCTGGAGGGCGGGGTGTGGGGTGTGGGGCCGCTCCGCTGCCTCTCTCCGCTCGGTGCTTGTTCTTGCGCCCTCCCGGGCCGGGCCTTCCCCTCCCCTCCCCTCCCCGGTCTCGCAGTGTCTGTGGCCGCGGATCACTGGCTGGGCTGCGGCCCCGGGAGCAGCGCTGGGGGCAGAGAGGGAGGGAGGGAGGGAGGCAGCGGGGCCGCCTCACTGCTTACTCGCTGCTGGTCGCTAAGGTGAGACTGTTAACAGTGAAGCCACAGCAAACACTCCCAGCAGAGCCAGCAGCACCGACCTCTCCCTCCCTGGCTAACCCCGCAGCAGCAGCAGCACTACCCCTCCCCCCACCACCCCCAGGGCAGCCAGACCCATCTGATAAGCCAACAACAACAACAACAACAACTTGCATTTATACAGCCCCCCCCCCCCCACCCATCCCCACCCTTCACCCCAGTTAGCAGCACCCAGCGCCCACCAGCACCAGAGCCCCACACCCTGCCCAGCTGCCCAGAAAGAGGAGCTGACCCTAGGCTCCGCCAAAGAGGACACGTCCTAGGATCCCATCCAGGATCCTTGTAAATCTGGAAGTAGCTCCACCAGGTTCCCCCCCCACCCCCGCCCGTCCCCACCCCCCCCCAGCCCGTCCCCACCCCGCGCCGCACCACCGTCTCCCAAATTTTGCTTGCCAGCTCCATAGCTCACCACGTTTATCAAGAAACTTTAACCAAGCTCATATCAAATTGGCATCTTAAGAATTTTACGAAACAGGCACAGCATATTTAATAATTATATTACGCACCCTCATCCATTTCATTAATCTTGAATGCAGGTGTACAATTGAGCACATTTAATACTACTGTACAAATAGATTTGTTTCGTTTCACCCACAAAATACAATTCACTTTACAGTAAGTGTTTTCAGACATCTCGAGTCTCGAAGACGTGATAAGGCAAGGATTGTTATATTGTACATTTACTTTGAGGCAAAAACAGGAACACAGAATCTTTGGGTGGGTTGCGTAAAATATATAAAGTTGTGTCAGTTTGGCTCAGGTGGTAGGAGTCTTGCCTCTGGATCAGAAGGTTGTGGGTTCAAACCCTGCATTGGGAATTTCATGGTCATTGGTGGGACATTTATATTTGCAACTTGGTTGCCTACAAATACAATTACAATTACTACACTGTACAGAAAACTTTGTGAAGAGCTTTAAGCCCTTTCAGTGTGATAAAGCTGTGATAATAATAATCCCTCCAAAACAACAAAACAATAATAAATTGGTCATATTTAATCCATGACTGTCTGTGGGACACTGCTGTGCGCAATTGGCTGCCGTGTTCGCCCACAAATATACAGTCAATTCACTTTACAGTATATTCTGTGAAGCGCTTAGGGACGTCTAGAAGACATGAAAAGCGATATATCAAATGCAAGGATTATTATTATTATAAAGCACTATATCAAATACAAAGATTATTTTAAATAACATAAGGGAACCATAAATAGCTACATTCCAAAGAATCCAAATCCACTGTAAATCCACTGGAACACACTGTAAAGTGAATTGACTGTATATTTGTAGGCGAATGCGGCAGCCAATTGCGCACAGCAATGTCCCACAAACAGTCGTAGATTGAAAATGACCAATTTATTATTGTTTTTGGTTTTTGGAGAGATTATTATTAGGCGTGTGGAGTAAGGAAACTTGCCCAAGGTTTCGCCCTGCCTGGAATTGAACTCAGGTCTCTCGCTTGCAAAGCGAGTGCTCTAACCACTGAGCTACAGGACTCCAGGACCTAAATTGATAGTGCAGGCATTACTGTATATTGGGGTCTAAAATTAATATTTGTGATTCAGATTATTTGTCTTAATTGCAACTTCAGTGATTTTCGCACTTCCCTATATGATGTAACCGTCACATAAAATAGGTTTCTGGTGCACACATTACCGTCTCACATTGGTGATACATGGCCTTTGATTAGGAGAGTTATATAATTATTTAATCCTCATCTAAAGGTCCTTGATCATTGAACCTTTTGCAGTTTTCAAAAATATTTTCTCATTTAAGATGGTGAGGTAACAACCTATCTAGTTTACGCCAAACCCATACAAAAGACATCTTATCTGTCTATTCGTCCCTGTGAACTCACATAGTCTAGGCTGACTCTAGTGCAGTGCTGGCGGTAGGCTGCATTGCGAGAAGTGCTGTCCTTCGGGTTAGACTTTAAATCGAGGTCCTGTGTGTGCTTGTTGAGGTGAATGTTAAAGGTCTCATGGCTCTAAAAGAGTATCCTGGCCAACAATCTCCAAATAAAATTGGTCTCTCTCTCCATGATTGTTTGTGGAACATTGCTGTGCACAGTTTGGCTGCTGGGTTTGCCCACAAAATACACAGACACTACACTTTACAGTATATGTAACTCAGTGGTTAGAGCACTCGCCTATCAAACGAGAGATCTGGGTTCGATTCCCGGCAGGCGAAACCTTGGGCAAGTTTCCTTACTCCACACGCCTATTAATAATCCCTCAAGAAAAAAATAATAATAATAAATTAGTCACTTCAATCCACGACTGTTTGTGGAACACTGCTGTGCGCAATTGGCTGCTACATTTCGCCCACAAACATACAGTCAATTCACTTTACGGTATATTCTGTGAAGCTCTTTAAGATGTCTACAAGACAACAACAACAACAAGATTGCATTTATAGAGCGCCTTTCATGTCGGGAGGACATCCCAAGGCGCTGGACAGTTGGGTCGGGACCCGAGCAGGGAGGAAATGGTCAGGGTGAGGGGAGGGAAGGGAGGGAGCGAGGAGGGGGTAGAGAGTCGAGAGGGGAGGTGAAGGCACGGTCAAAGAGAAAGGTCTTGAGACCGGCCTTGAAGGAGGAAAGGGAGGAGGCGGCGAAGGCACTGGGGAATGGAGTTCCAGAGCCTAGGGGCTGAGAGGCTGAAGGCCCGGCCACCGCTGGTAGGACGGTTAGGGCGGGGCATGTGGAGCAGACCGGAGTCAGAGGAACAGAGGGTACGGGCAGGTAGGTAGGGGGATAGTAGGTCAGAGAGGTAGGAGGGAGCAAGGCCGTGAATGGCCTTATAGGTGAGGATGTGGATCTTGAATTCGATCCTCTGGGGGATGGGGAGCCAGTGGAGGCGAGCGAGGGTGGGAGTGATGTGGTCGCGAAGCCTGGTGCGGGACAGTACACGAGCTGCAGAGTTCTGAATGACCAGGTGGAGCTGGGAGATAAGGAGTGGAGTGGGGATGGGGTCAAGGGAGCAGGTGGTGGGTTTCAGGGATAGGATGAGTTTGGTGACACAGGGTGGGGAAACGGGTACGAAAGCGTGTAGGGGAGGATGGGTAGGAGTCGGAGTGTGGGAGGGAGGGGGTGGGGGGTGGGTGGATGGATGTTGGAGGGGAAGTTACCACGGAGCGAATTCCCTTGATTTTGGATTCAAGGAAATCCAGCATCTCCTCGCAGTGAAGGTTGGAAGAGATGACTTGCGCGGGGTGGCGCGGGGGACGGAGGAGTCGGGATGTGGTAGAGAACAGAAGCCTGGGGTTGTTCTTCACCTCCAGGATTATCCTGGAGTAGAAGGACGACTTGGCTGAGGCTAGATTGGAGCGGTAGATTTTGAGGAGGTCCAGCCAGATTTGTCGGTGGACCATTAGGCCAGATTTGAGGCAGGTGCGTTCAGCGGCCCACACTTGGCACTTCAGTGAGCGGAGGTGGGTGGTGAACCAGGGGGAGGAGCGAGAGTAAGAGACAGTACGAGAGGTGATGGGGGCAAGAGTGTTGAGTGTGGAGGAGAGGGTGTTGTGGAGGAGTGTGAGAGCAGAAGAGGGGTCAGTGAGGGATGAAGGCCAGAGGGAGAGGAGTTCAGAGGGCTCCAAGGCAGCGGTTAGGGATTGTGGGGGTAACTTCTTCCAGGGGTGGTAGAAGATGGTGGTGGGTCTGGTGGAGGTAGGGAGGGGGGTGGACGTGGTGAAGGAGATTAAGTGGTGATCGGAGACGGCCTTGTCGGTAATGGTGACATCCGAGACACTGAGGCCTCGGTTGATCACCAAATCAAGTGGGTGGCCATGAATGTGAGTGGCGGAGTTGATGTGGAGGGAGAGGTTGAGCGAGGAGAGGAGGGAGGAGAAGTCCGAGGAGGTGGAGCAGGAGGGGTTAAGTGCAGGTTGAAGTCGCCCAGGATGATGAGCCGATCAGAGCAGAGGCAGTGAGATGTTAGGAGGGTAGAAATGTAGGAGTTGAAGGTGTGGGAGGTTTTAGGGGGCTGGTAGAGGAGGAGGATTTTGAATGAGGTGAAAAGCGCTATATCAAATGCAAGGATTATTATTACTATTATTATAAAAATCATGCACAAGGTATAAAGTATCAAATTTGAGAGAATTGTCAACTGTTGCTACTGCACTCTATCTTTCCCTACCTGGTTTGATAATTTTTTTTATTGGTGAACTGTCCTTTATGGATTTATAAAAGTTGCTTTTGAATCCCAGAATGATGCTTTCTACACCTCAAGTTTAATAAAGATTTCTTTAATTGCACAGGTGCTTGGAAGATTATATTTTGAGAATATTGTCTGACAGTGATTAATGACTGAACTGAACTCAGAATTTGTTTATCAGATTCATCAAGCACAACAAATGCACACTAGCCATATGAAGGAATGTTTAAGCTGATAGTCCTGCCACACTTGTCAAAAGCAGGTATTTGCTCATGATGCTCACATTATACATTTGACTATTTCCTTCTTATAATTCCTTGTACATTTTATTGATGCTGTCAGTTCACTTGTACATTTTATCTATAAATCTCTTGTTAAGCTTGGCAGGGAACATAAGGCAGGCCTTCTACAGATTGTTGTGTAAAATACCTTCATTCCTGACATAAAGGACTAAGGAAATAATACAAGACAAATAAATCAAAATTGCCAATTTGATAGATAATTGATTGCTACATTGCAAGCACTGTATATGGATCCTGCTGACATATTGAAGAGGATCACTGAACTAATGAAAGGTCAGTACACTCGTGGACTTGGCTTTTGATTCAGCCTTTAGATATAGGGGGGAAAACAGACTGGCATAAT